CTGCGTGGACTTCAACTCCCAGAATTCCTGGGGAATTCTGGGAGTTGAAGTCCACGCAGCTTAAACTTGCCAAGGTTGAGAAATGCTGCCTTCGAGCAACATGCAATGTTTTAGAGGCCAATCTGCCTTTCACAGCTCAACCTATGCAGAATTAGCTTAGGGTGATGAGCAGAATGCCCAGCCAGACGTCTGGTGCCCTCCTCTGCCCAAACATGGGGAGTGCAGATCTGGAGAAAGCTGTAAACAGCAGTGGGAAGAAAAGAGGGCATCTAAGACGTTAGTTATTTATGTATTTTATTTGCTGCTGGATTAGCTAGACTCTCAGTGGCTTACAGCAACATAGTGCATAGTTGGACCATTCATGGTTTAAACAAAACATTTGTACGTTTACATAAATTAAGGAAAAGTTTGGTTCTTCTTGGCATGGGGACCCTGTAAAGAGGAGATTAGGGTCCCCCAAGAGAGCTGTTTCCTGGTTACCAGCCCCTTCCCTCACGCCGTCCCTTTTCTCTGCCCCACAGCGAGCTGGATTATTACGACTCCCCCAGTGTCAACGCCCGGTGCCAAAAGATCTGTGACCAGTGGGACTCCCTAGGATCTCTGACCCACACACGGAGGGAAGCGCTGGAGGTGAGCTGAAACATGCCCTGCCATCAGAGGAGGCAAGCCAGCGAATGCTACGTAAGGAGACCTACTCATTTTGCCCGTCTCTTTTCTAAGAAAACAGAGAAGCAGTTGGAGACCATCGACCAGCTCCACCTGGAATATGCCAAGCGAGCAGCACCCTTCAACAACTGGATGGAGAGCGCAATGGAGGACCTCCAGGACATGTTCATTGTCCACACCATAGAGGAGATAGAGGTACGAGGCTGTCCAATAAATCTTCCTATCCTCTCTACCCTGCAAGAATCTGGAAGTATCTATCTTAGCTTCAGCTGATGCAAGAGAGAGAGAAGCGGTGATGAGCAGTGCTTAGGGCAGTGTTGTCCAAACTTGGCCACTTTAAGATGAGTGGACTTCAACTCCCA